GAAAGGTTGGGAGATGGGTACCCCGTTTTCCTGCATTATGAATTGACTGTGTGAGGCCTATCACCCACTTGACTGGGCTGCAACTGTGTGGGAGAGAAATCCTATCTGGTTTGTCAGGAGGAGGGCATTCGGCTCTTCAGATATGAATTCCAATCCCTTCTCATTCTGAGGCCTGTGATTCTAAGGAAATGGCAAGTCTGTTAAGTGGCCTTGCCTCCCAGCAAGTCGAACAGTTCCAGCCAACTCCTGTCAGCCATTCTAGCTTTCATGTGCCCCTACTGGGCAGACTGCTTCCAAACAGGAGGGAGAGAAAACTGTCTCGAGCCATACAACACACCTCTTTGTGTCTCTTTAGTTAACCCCAGATGGCGGACCAGGTTTGCTGTAACTCAGGTAGCTCCCTTGGTTCCTTCTCCTCCCTTCATGTCATAGCTCAGATCCCTTCTCATTCTTTTCTTAACCGCCCCCCCCCCCAAAAGCACTGCTGTCCCTCTCCATCTCAGATTCTATCTTCCAGTTCTTGGGCTCATAATGACAACCCCCCTCCCATTTTTTCAATGTCATGTGGTTATACTATTTCCTGACTTGCAGGTTTAGATATTTAGAGAATGCATATTATGGAAGATAAAAAACTTAGCTATTTTACATATCCCCAACTATCTGTAAAGCAAGTATCTCCCTAATCCCCCAGCTTTAGCACCAGAATACAGCAGAGCTTGGTACAGTGACAGCTGAGGTCCCAGCACCACTTGGCCACAGCTCCTGACCAGCCTGCTCCAGAAGTAAGCACACTGCAGCTGCACTGCCTCAAGGTCATATGGAAATTAAACTGCCTATGAAGATGTTTAAAGCACTCCTAAATGTTAGAATTCAGGAGCAGTCAGTAAACCACCAGGACCAAACCCTACAAAAGAGGAATTTGATAAACTGTTCATTAACTGGTTACAAAATCCAGAGACCCTCTAGTTCTGTGCAGCCCACTTTCCCTCTCCCTCTCTCCCCAGGGAAACCTCCACCTTTGCAGACTCCAAACCCTCAGGCCTCAGCGTTCTCACCTGTAGGGGTCTGGGAGGAAGTCAGTCTTAAATTGGGGAGCAAACCGGCTCAGCTTGTCCACGGGGCTGAACTGTTTCTTTTTCAAGTTTATATGGGCCTTCTTGACTAGCTGAGCAAAACAGTCTCCTCCACAAGATAAGAACATAACAGAGGGAGCAGCCATGAGGCCCCATGCTCTCCATTCCTCTCAGGTGTCCCCAGTTCTGAGGTGGAAGAAATGAAAAGTTGGCAGAGGCATCAGCAAGCATGTGTGGACTCTTAGCAATGCCAAAAACCCCATTACAGAACACTGAATTTGTGGGGGTTGCGGTGCTCTCTATTCCCTACGTTACTCCTTGTACAATTGGTACCGAGTGACGCTGGCCCTCGAATTCCCTCATATACTCCTACTGAACAGTGGCATGTCCTGGCCACCTAGGTGGTGTGTTCACCTAGGCCCATCATTGTCATCAAAGTGCCCTGTGAAGAGACTGTGCTACTAGCAAGCGGCAACACGAGGAGTCAGAGCCTGGCGTGAGCAACACTGCCAGGAGCTCAGCAACTATTTGTAGATTCCGTGGAAAACACAATGAAAAACATATGACATGAAGTCCCTCAAAAATCACCCACCTTTAAAAAAATCATCTGCTTCAGGATGATAAAGGAATAAATTATGAAAATACTGATACTACCTGCTGCCTATGGAGCAGAAAAGCTTTGGAAGGGTTGCAGGAACCAGAAGGGTGACCAGCCTGCCAATAATCCAATTAGGCGAAGATTCATTCATCAAATAAAATATAAAACCCCCAAAAGGGCAAGCTTTTAAGTGGCAAGAGAAATAAACAAGAGGCTTGCTGGAATTTTTAAAAGGAGAGAGAACAATCAGGATCAGTGGAGAGGGATGTACCAGGCTACATGGAAGGAGAAACAGAGCCAAAACCCCGACAACTCAAAACCCTGGCTAACCAGGAGTCTGAAGGTGGCCCTGGCAGGAAGGGTGGGGACCCACACCAGGCTGGCGACAGGGAATGGGAGAGGCCAGGGAGACCAGAGGCAGGGGAGATGGCCACGGGCAGCAGGCGCCAGGGTGGGTATATATGCACAGCACGCACGCACACACGAAGCAGGATGCTCACTGCACTGAGGACACTGTGACATGGTTTTACCTTCCTGAGAAGTTGGGAGGACATCCCGGGGGAGGACAAGCCGGGATGGGGGATAGTCACGAGAGCTGGGGAAGTGTGACAGTGACAGTCCACACTGGGTGAGCACCCCAGTCCAAACCACCCCTCTCCCCCAGGAAGTTGCATTCCCCAGTGCAGTGTGTGCACTGATAATTCTGGCCATAACGTAGTGTTTGTTCCTAGTCCCCTGAAACC